TGGGTTTTCTTCTATGAAAGTGTTGTTACCGATGTAGAGGATGCTGCAGAAGCAGCAGCAGCCAAGTTGAGCGAGCTCATCGATGCGCAGCATCTTCACTTCGTCACGCGAGCGGTTCTGGCTGACGAGCCACTCTTCGAGCTCGACCATCTGGACATTTTCGAGACCGATGCCGGCGTCGATTTCACCAGTGATGATGGAGCGCGTAACGTTCATGCCGACACGGACGGCCTGGTAGTCGTCAGGCGACATGCCGTAATGCGCAGTGAGTTCGTCGAGCTGGATCTTGCCAAATTCGCCGACGTAGCCAATCTTCTTTCCCTTGAGGGTGGTGAAGTCGGGAGTGATGCCAGACGATGTCAGGTACACGACACCAGTGAAGGGCTCGTTGAGCAGAGAGCCAATTGACTGGACCGGAAAGCCACGAGCGGCGGCGGCCAGCGTATGGATCATCGCCTTGAAGCCGAGATCGACCTTGCCAGATCCAATGATCTCAGTGACATCCTGGGATGGTCAGCTGATGAAGTACGAAAGCTAATGACGACCATACACTAGGATCATTGGGCTCAAGGAGAGCGACTTTGATGCCTTCATCCTTGAAGTATCCCTTGCTCTGAGCAAGGTAGAGGGGAGCATGGTATGGCGTAGCGTGCCTATTTACAGTCAGCATACACCTCGCTCGATCAAGATGCAAAGCGCACCAGTTGGTCAAGAAGGTGATCTTATCAGTCGACATCTTGACTTGAGTGCAGAAGCTGAGCTAGTCAGTACGCCAACATAGTGGGGAAGGGGTCATCATGAAGCAGCAATAGTCCTTCGCGCTGGAATTATCCAGATCAAGTTTGAACGGTATGATCTCAGAACAAGCCATCAGCGATCAGATCCTGAAAAGGGATTTGGATCGCTGATGACTTGAACACCCGCCATGCTTTGCTTCTGATGGTTGAGATGGGTACCTGATGATGCCATGCTGGGCACCTGTTACTTGACCGAGATGGAATTCTGGTGTGCGAAGAGCGAGACCGAATAGGCTTCGCTTTGCTGGTTCGATGATAGCATCGTACCAAAGTGGGTTGTATTGGGTTGGTGAAAGCTGGATATGTGCGATTGGAAAAAGTTGAAGAACAATTGAGGGCGCAGCTTGAGGCCACGGCTAGAGCCGGATACTTATACTTAACGTCTCATACTGTCGACTGAGGTCATGTATGGATAAATTGCTCACTGTAGGTGCATGTGTTGGGACATGGTGGGGCAATGAGGGGTACACTTCCCGGGTCAAAACACATCACTAAACCACAAGACGCGTCTGGTCATGCAGGACGGAATGTCCTTCAGAAACCATCATTCGTTCAGATTCAAGTATGGATTATCCGTAAGCTGTGGCTCTAATTTAGGTAGTCGGTCTAGGTTTGCTGAACCACGTCCTTGGGAACTCACACGACGATCTTGTCTTTCTCCAGCGAACGGGTTATTTCATTTAAATAGCTGCGTCGCGCCAAAGCCAAATATGTAAGAAGAGATATCCACCTACTGCCGCAATTCCGTGGGCTGATGCTTTACGACATCCAATGACACGTACTATGACCAAGACCTCAACTCCGAATATCGGTGATATGAATAATCATGAGTATCTGAGATGTACAGATTCGTGGGACCGAGTACGAGTGGTTAAGACGCATTAGGATGCCATCGGAATTATAACGCTACCATCATTTCTTGCAGCCACCCGTTTAGACCCTGCCACATCGAGCTGTCCATGTCGTTATCTCCCAACCTCTCGCAGAAGTGCCTCAAAGCCTCGCACCTCTGCTTGATCCAATCTCTCTTCTCGTCGTCGCGGCCACCGTGCAGCTCTCCAGCAATGGCATGTGCTACCTTTGCTTCGCATACTGGACACAGATATGGCGGTTGTCTTACATCTTCCTTCATGCTACCTGTGCCCTGCATATTACATGCATAGTATACACAATGGTCGAGCGCGAAGCAATGTCCTAGCTCATGTGACACTGTACGCGCGAGACGTGAAAACCAAAGCGCCTGCACTTCTTGCATCGATGATGTAGGCTTATGTGTTGTCGCGGCCTGGGTAGCCGCTTTCATCGCCCCACTCTTGCTTAGTTCTTTCTGTTTCTTCGTCGCAGGCTTTGCCTTTACATCCTCTACAGCACATAATTCATCGACAAAGGTTTTGCAATGACTCCAAGGCCACATGTGATTTCGGTCGATCTCCTCTCCTTTTCGTTCATCTAGAATTGGGTTATATCGCGCAGTCTGCACGACAGCCACTCTGCTGCCTCCATACGCTCTGCCACAGCAGAAGTCGTCATCGTCGGACTCGTAAATGTCGTGGTCGACTAGGACGACCATTGCATAAGCGTCATCGGGAAGGATTGAAATGGCTGTATCGAGGATGTCGTCTAGATTCAGTTGAGCAGGAAAAGCGGTGTCTGGCGCAGGGCGGACGCGGATTCTGGTACACCGATCTCCATGCGATAGGCCAACGTACTTCGGCAGAACGGTGCTTCGACAGCCAATGGCGGACTTCGTAATTGAGCCCCACGATGTCCAGGTCAATGGCGTGGGGAAGAGGCGAACAGGCATATCGTGATAAAATGCAGTAAGATAGTCGACAAAGTGATCTGCAGATGGAGGAGATCGTCCGGCTTTACCCTCGCCTTTGGCTTCATCGTAACCGGTTGGTACTACCCAGTGCCTCATGAAGTCCGCCTTGAAATTGATCCCTGGCACTTGCACTACATACAACTTATCCCTTCTTGGCGTCGATGATAGTCTGTTCCTACACTCCTCGTTCAGCCATTCCTTCGCACTCTGCGGTGAAGAATCTGGATCATAGTTGAGCTCGTCGTGAGGTAGGACTAGAGGAGCGGGAAATATTCCAATGGGATGATCCTTGACACTCTTCGGCGTTCTTCCAGATGTCGTTTCTGCTGCTGCGCGTGCTGCGGCATCCGGCTGTTCATATCCAGCCAATACTGCGAAGGGCGATGGATTTAGTTGTAGAACGGTGTGCTTGCATGCCATGGCGAGTGTCAGTACAAAAGGAGGCGAGAAGAACGGAAGGGAGACGGGAGAAGGACAAGGACTGTTGCCTAAATGATGGCTGCTTGTCTTGAATGCTAGGCGAACCCCCGCGATTCATGTCTACGCCTCGCTTCATGCCGCCGGGTCATCGTGCCTGATTCTCTCCTTCCATCCCCTGTGCACCCTCGACCGTACTTTCACCACAGAGGATCGTTCCTTCCCCAGTATAGCAAACTTCCCCCAATCGCCAAGCTGTTAAAGATGCCAATGTAGTGACCCGCGATCTTGTCCTTCGCTCCATACGCGCTGACAATCACCGTATCCGCGACGGTTGCGACTAATCCCGCCATGACCGCAACACCCAAGCTCCTCCTGTCTCGCAGTACCAGACCAAAGACTGCTAACAGAACGCCGTTCTGAACGTTACGCGCTGCTATCGCTGCAACCAGAGCTTTCTTGGTCTTTTGATCCTCGTCGTAGGTGCTTTCGGTGTTGCTGGAGCGTTTTGCGGATGCAGGCGATGTGTCGGACTCGGCTGAGATGGGCAGACCGTAGCCATCAGCGAAGAAGGAAGGGTTTCGTAGACCTATTATTCCGAAAGGGACGATCTCGAGGGTTGCGATGAAGAGCGCGAGGCATTCCGCTGGCGGAGGTAGGTGGTGGAAGAGGTTGCGGGCTTGAGTCGTCATGGTGGCGGACTTGTTTGGCCGTGAGGATGGTCTCGGAGAGAGTTGCAGCGCTGCAAGGCTTGAGAAACGAGACGAGACATGGTGTAATCTTATAGAAACAGTTGCTATCGATGCAGGAGAGATGTAGGTGTATGTAGACTTCCTCCAGCTCCCATTGGCTGATGAGTTCGGACTTCGGCTGCGGGGATCGCAGGGCTGTCGCGTCGACGCGTCTTCCGCCCCATCGCTTCGCGCTTCAAAGCCTCTACGACGGGCGAACACCACTGTGAATATTGATTTTGATTACTACTTCGATTTCCCTGACAACATCTCGCAATGGAACCTTCCTGGCACGCGTTACAGTGATGGCACGTCTCCAGTGAACCACGCCCCGGGCGATACCGGCATCTCCTCCGCGCCCAGCGACCGCGCTGCAATGCCGAATGAATGGGGAATATGCATTCACGAGAAAGGAAGCGTAAATGAACATAAGAGCGCCCTGGAAAGAGATGGAGAGTGAAGATCGACTTCCGTCAGCTCTGAGCTTGGCGTGCACAGGGAAACAGTGCCGTTCAGGCATCATGGCTGAGGGCATACCGGGAGGCGTATATGTGCTATGGCTCATTCACTCTGTGAGTCTGAGTGGGCATATTGGCTCACAGTAGCGATTATCTTGGGATTGGATGAGGGTTACTTCCTTGGAGCGGATAGGCACATGGCAAACTCGTCTATCCGCGGTTTCGTCCTATCAGAGGTTCGTCATCTCAAATATCAGCGCACGTAAACGCATCGCTACCATAATTTGCCTGGGATTGTGAAAGGCTTTGGAAGCGGTACAATGCTTGTTTGCATGTGCGGTGAAACTAGGTTCAGCTTTTGACAGCTCGACTGCGCCTGCTTTCTGTCGAATTTTCCCTCGTGTGGCGCTCTTTCCTTCCAAGGTTGTCTTCACTCGACCCTCAACACCACGGAAAGCTTGGACTCGCCTCGCACACTTCCGCCTTCACACGCACCTCTCAATTTTGCTAGCCGCTCCCTCCCCAGTACATAATCCGCCCTCCCTCACCTTCCTTCTTACTCTCTCCACACTCGCTCCTCAACTGCGCAGCTACAACTCTTGCGTTCCGAAGCCCCGACCGCCAAAATCTTCTGTCGACCTTGCGCAACTTGAGCCTGCCTTAGGCGATCTGTGTCCATCAAGCGAGCTTCGCCCTCACCTCCGCCTCCCACACTTTACGAGCCGCGCCCCAACCCCCAACTCCTACCCCGTTCGTCAAGCGATCGCACAAGATGGCGACAGCTCCTTCCTTCTGGGCTGCTGGCGGCAGCAAGATCAAGTCCGCCGAGTCTCCAAACCCCAAGATCGCAGAGGCACCACCCAAGGCGAAGCCAGACCCTCAACAGAAGAAGGGTCTCGTACTGAAGGGCATGACCAACGGCCAGTCGACCAACAGCGTATCGAACGGTACCTACCCAAAGACCCCCATTGGCAAGAAGACCAACTGGGCCGACGATGACGATGATGATAACACCTTCATCGCCGAGTTCATGAGCCAGGATCCGAAGATCGCCACCCTCGAGACCACCGTTGCCCTGAAAGAGGAGCGTGTCAAAGAGTTGGATGCACTGGTCGAAACGAAGACGCTTCGTATCGCTGAGCTGGAAGGTGCGGTCCAAGACAAGGACGTACACATTAGCGATCTGGAGACGGAGGTCCAAAAGAAGGATGTGGAAATCGAGAAGCTTAAGAAGGTGAATAGCGATCAGCTCGCTCACAACCAGGAGCTTCTGCGCGGCGCTGAAGAGAAAGACAGCCATATCGAGAACCTGAAGGCTGAGCTGGAAGAGAAGGCGTCGACCATCGGTAACCTTGAGCGCGCAAAGAAGGCTGCGACCATCAACAACCTCGAGCAGGAGTCGGCCGCACTCGTCCCCGTCCCCACGAATGACGAAGTAAGCACTGAGGATGAAAGCAAGAATGAAGGATCGGAGAATATCAAGTCTAATGGCGCCGATGTCGTTACCGAGACGAAGACCAAGGCTGAGAAGACCGCATCTGTGGCCTCTGATTCGGATAGCTTTGAGATCGTGGACGCTCCCATGACTGAGGAGGTGAAGAACGAGAAGCCTGCGACCGTCGTCGCGAAGCAGTCCGAGGACACCGGAACGGAAAAGAGCACCAGCGGCCCAGCCCTCCCAGCATCTCACTTCCCCACGTTCGTGACGAAGGAGACGCTGAAGGTCGTACCTCCGGCTCCGAAGCCCAAGACCCTTACCTTTGGCATTGACATGTCCAAGTACGGGAAGAAGCCAGCCCCATCTGCTGCTGCAAAGACCCCACCGACATCGTCGCCCGTTGCCGAACTGAATGGCCACACCACACCCTGGGGTCACTCCTCTAGGCAGGCGCGCGATAAGACCGGTGCTATGCCGGAACTCAACCCTGCGGCTGACATCCGTCACATGTCTCACGGGCAGCGCGTTGTCTTCGGTAACGGCCCCGAAGTTATTGTCAAGCTTGGAGAGGTCAAGCTGGCTTCTATTCCTAAGTACGTCCTGATGCAGTGCTCAGGCAAGGCATACAAGCACTTCACCGCCAATCCCGATGCGACCTCTTGGGTTCTGCCCGCCGGTTCGATGGACGCTGATGCTGCGACGGCGCATCTGAAGTGGATGGACGAGATGACCTACCAGAGCAGGGTCTACTCTGTCCGACTCCAGACTGAAACGGTGTACGACAAGAAGAACCTACACATCTGCCGTGCTGCCCGGGTCCTAGGTCTCAACAATACCTACGTGGCTCAATTCACCAAGCAATTCTGCGACCGTATCCGCGCCCAGGATGTGTCGTTCGAATTCATGGACCTTCTCTGCCAGCTGGCATACCCGGAAAACGACCCGGTGTTTGACTGCATGGTCCACAACCTTGTCAACCAGAAGAAGGTTGGCAACGCCAAGGGCACGGCCGATTTGGAGAAGCTGATGGCCAAACATCAGTCCCTAAAGGAAAAGGTGGAGAAGATCGAGAAGCGGATCGGAGGTCGTCCACGCAAGACCTGGAACTCGCCCGAAGGTAGTGCTCGTGGTGGGAGCAACGACCGCAGCGGCGGCAAGGGTGGGAGCCGTGGCAAGTCAGCACCGCGCAACCCGCCTGTCGCACCAGCGCCCGGAAACAAGCCTGTTACTCCGGCGCCTGGTGACGAGTTGTTCACCACTCTCCACTAGGTCAGCCTAGTGACTTGATACGGTGTACGGGAGGGAGGGATGGAGTACACCGTGGAAAAAAAGACGGATGGTTGACGACTGCAACGAGGCGAGTGCGTTCCGATGCGTTCAAGCGAGCGATAGTACTGTCCGCTGTGTAGTTCTTTGTATCTGCGACGAGAAAAAAAAGGATATATAGAGCGAAAGCTTGATTCATTGATAGGACAGTATAGGATGTCTGGGTGTATCTTCAACGCCATCAACGAATGTCAGGTAGTTATAGTTGGTAATGTCATCGATGGACACTTACACCTTTGATACGTGATCGAAACTGTGCAGCAAACTTGTGAACATGTCTCATTGGGAGTTGCTTGTCTCTTTGATTCCATTGTCGTAGCCGAGTGTATGTTCTAACATCTACATTCTACACCCTTCCGACTAACACAAAGATACTTGACGCCCTTGTACGGCGTGACACCACTGCCCAAGCCTTTGCTCTTCTTCTGGTCCACATTCAAACTCTCCACTTTGATCCCACTCGGCAACCAGCCTTTAACGGAGAAGCTGATAGTCGCACAGCTCGGCATGAGGACTTTGTTTGCCTGTTTGATCTTCGCATCGCTATCGGGCTTGGGTACGCTGGACGATGGAGCTGCAGGTAAGGAGACCTGTGTGCCCTGATCATCATCGTAATCATATGTCGACGTCGTGAACGATACAGGTCCACCGGCGTCCAACGCGTCCTCCGCGGATGGGTCATCCTGCCCAATTACAGTCCCGCGTAATGTAGCCGTTGCACCGACCCCTCCTCCGCGGTCTTGCGACATGAGATTGCTTATTTCGCGACTGCTGATGCGCCATTCTATTGCCCTGTCGCCAGGCGCGTAGCCTGCATCTCCTGTTCCACGCGCGACGCGTAAATCCGCGACATTTCTGACGGACGCTGGAAGCGGGATGTGGATGGTCATTTCTTCGATCGCGGGGGCGGACGTGGTTCCTGTCGATGAGGATACGCGTCCCAGGCTAGCTTTCGCCGCGCTGGGTTGGGAGGGCTTATTTCCGCTGAAGCGTGGGTTGAGTTGGAGTTTGACTTCGAAGTCTGTGCCGGTCGGGCCGAGGGAAGGGTGGACGGATACTGTAGCTGGTATGTTTAGTTTTGGACTGGAAGTCTTTGCGTTCTTCTCTGTGGAGAAGGCATCTAGTGCTGCAGAGCCCAGCAAGTCGACTTCGTACCCAGCGAGCACGAAGCGACCATCTGGCGGTACGAATGAAAGTTCACCTGGCCTCGCTTTCCACTGGTTGAGTCTGACGCAGGGATGGAAGACAGGGAGTGAGACTGCGTTTTGTATGCCACCTGCGCATCCCAAATGTAGTATGAGATCAGGTATTCCGGAGACCTTGGCCGTGAAAGCGATTGTACCGTTGGCCATGGCAGCTAGAGGGCGACCCGATGGTGATAAGGTAACCTCTAGTGTTTCCACGATATCCACATACATCTCATTGCTCGTATGTCTGACGTTCGCTCTTCTCCACGGCACCGGTGAGCCTGTCTGACTTGAGGTCGGTGATGGTCCTAGTCGTGGGCTTGCTCTTCCACCGCCTAGACCAAATGCTCCAGTAGCAGAGGGTGCGAGCGAGCTCGGTGTCGAAGAAGGCAGTCCCACTCCTCCCAGTAGACTCTTGAGTAGATTCGGCGCCTCGACGACATCTCTCAGCGCGTTCGGTTCCGTGTTCGCAATGATTCCGCCATCCACCATCTCGCTGAGTAGCTGCGCGACGACATCGTAGTTTCCCTCGATCTTGCTCGCCAGCAGTGGTGACCCCAGAAAGTCTTCGAGGACGTCGGTCAGGCGGTGGAGGAAGGTGAGGACGGCGAGGGGATCAGTGTCTGCCGATGTCGGGCACAGGAACAGAAGCTGGTCTTGTATTATGCTGTATAGCAGCGTCGGTGGGTTGGTATTGGGCAGATATATCAGCGGCGGCCGGGGGGCGGGATGCGCGAGATAGAGAGGCAGGAGGACGGAGGATGGAGACGGGCGGTTGAGGTATGTGTGCTCGAGCAGTGGAGTGCTGAGGATGTTAGCGACGAATGACGTAATCGCTGGAATCGACGCGTCTTACTTGTGCTCATCAAAGATGTAGAGAGCTTCGATTGCGCTCATGGTGGGAAATGTCAGCTGCGAGCCATGCGCGTGGGAAGACGTGAGGTCCGCGTCGTGGGGCAGTTTGGGCGGGGAGCTTCCGGAGCTAGAAACATCCCTGCATGGCTAGCATGACATGCAGACTTCTGGTCGCAAGATCTTTACACGATAGAGCCAGCGTGTTGCATCTGAGTTAGTCGCGGTGCTGTCTGTCTAGCGTCGCGATAATGGCACTGCCACCTCCTTCCGCGCCGACCTTCAAAGAGGCTCTCAAGAATGACAGAGCGGAATTTGAAGATTGCACTCCATGTCGCGTAGTCGGTATTGTACTCTAGAACACACTGTATCTACCTCAGTACTGACATGGTGTTTAGGGAGCGCTACATTCCTGGGCCTCGGCGCCTTCACGTACGTCTCGGGCCATTCACAGATCAAAGCCAACGAAGCCGCGATACGAGCCAGCAAAAGCATGTTCGGAATGCGGAGTAGGGGAATGGCAATAACAGGAACAAGCGCCGTCATGGTGGGCCTGGGGTTATATCGGTGGTTTGCATAATGGGAGGGATACAAAGAGACGCTTGAAGGTCACAAGCCTGGAACGTATACCTAGGTGTTGTAGGTGGAAAGACTTGAGTACAAACTTGGGCATGCATCGGCGTTTGGGAGTCACATCTTCACGGACGAGATGAGTCACTGCATATGGCATACAACAGTTGAGGACATGCAATGATGGTATTAACACCCTCCAAAAAAACGCTATCTACTTCCACCTCCGAATGATGTCCCACCCCGTAGAAAATGCGAAAAGGTATATAGCCTCCGAAATCAATAACACCACAGAATGCGTCTAGTAAGCCTCCCCCAATGCGTATGAAAAATGATCCACTAGCCCTGTGCGCCGTCTGGGTATGATGCAAGTAGTCGTGATTCGTCGAACAGTCGTTCGTGTCATTGCCTGGAGTTCGATGACATGTCCTCAGGCTTGGAGCTGCGGTGCTATGACATGCGTCCGCGCTTGGATCCTCCGCCTGATGAGCCGTCTCGCCGGTCGTTGAAGCCATCGACATTGAAGAAGTCGTTCATGAGTCGTCTCTTCTGCCCTGCACCGTTGCCTAGTTGGAAGAGATTCTGGGCGGCGGATCGCTGGAGGTTTCGGGTAGACGAGCGGTTCGTGGGGCGGCGAGAAGCAGGGAAAGCGCGGCGGGCAGCAGCTGACATGTCGGCGGCGGCGGTCTCGTTTGGTGAATCAGAGGGTAGAGCTTGTGCGGCAGAGAATTCGAAGATGTGGTGTAGTGGCGACATGTCGGCCTCGGTCGTAGAAGCTTCCATCTGGAGGGGCGGCGCAGAGTCAGAGCGTGTTTCCGTGACCGTCGTGGGTACCAGTGTGCGTGAGTCGTCCATGCCGTGGGTTCGGTCCATGATGGGTGATGAGCTTCTGGCGCGGTTGTTGTCGAGGTATTCGTCGTCACTGTCGCTGCTCGTCTGCTTGGGCAAGCTCCCGTCTAGTCGTTCCGTGGCCCACTGCCGTATTCGCCAGCCCTCGCCGTCGCCCACACCAATATTTTCCTTGTCCAGGAAGGTGAGCAGGTCATCGAGAGCCTCCTGGTAGCCGTCGGTACGGGCCCTGTCGATGTCGGCAAGCGCGGACTTGTACAGGTGCGTCACGTTGAGGGCAGCGGTGCGGAAGGACTGGTGCACATCGTGCTGCCCTCTTGTCTTGGGCAGCGACTTGTTGAGACTGCGCATCGAGTCCATGGTGGTTGTTTGGGCTGTCGGCGGCAGGTGCGATGGTGTCAAATCTTTGTCGGGCTCCACTGCGTTGTGGCCGGTGTTCGGCACCCGCGGGCGATGCAACCGTGATGGGGAGCGTGATGGAAGAAAAAGAGTAGATGAAGCCGATAAGGTGAACGAGAGTGCTGTTCACTCGGAAGGAGCGTGGCTTCTCGTCGCTCGCTGGGTTGAGGTCGTGCGCTGCTCCTGGACTCGCGGGGTTGACGCTATCACGGGCTCTTAGCTCCGGGCTAGGCCCTGACAGCATGTGCCACCCTTCACCCGTCCCCGTCAACATCCTTGATTCACAGCCCCAGCTTCCAGTCAGCATGCCATCATGACTTCGCACCTAGAACGCCTTCCTGTCGAGCTGTTCGAGCTCGTTGCTGCCACTCTTAGCCTCTCGTCTCACAAAAGCCTTCGTCTTGCATCCAAGAGATGTCGCTTCCTCACCCATTCTGTATTTGTAGAACGCGCTTTCTCCCGGCTAAAGACTACTCTTGGACCACCCTCTCTCAACCGTCTCGTCAACCTGGCGCAGTCGCCTCATTTTCGTGGTTCTGTCAAAGTCCTACAGATCCAGCTCTTGACATCAGCGGAGTATAGTGTCCTCACTGCCATTAGCCGTGTCGGCAGGTTTCCGCCACCCAAACGATTTCCCAGGGTACCTGGCATCCAAGACAAAGATATCAAGGACGAAGCACCCACATTCACATATGTCGTGGAATGCGAGTATCCAACCCGCTTGTACGATGGCCTTGTTCGAGCATTGCGAGGCTTCACCAACTTGACGGCCATTCACTTCCATCCGAGGGGATCCCAGCTCGCGGAATCCAGCAGTCTTCTTTCCGCAGCCGATTGTCTATTTCGTAGTAGATGCTTTCAGGTCGTCATGGACGCCATCGTTAACAGCGAGGTCCGTCTGAGCGAGTTTCGTATGGCCAAGTGCAAGCGTGGGACTGCATTACATAAGGAGGCTATCCTACCATTTTCAGCACTCCAAACACCTACGCAATCTCTGAGGACACTACACTATCGCTTTTCGCACCTCAAAGTTCTCACTCTCTCTGCTTTGTCTAGGAACGATGACCTCTCGCGCACACCTGGTTG